TGCTCTTGTATTTGGTAGAGAACAGAAGAGATGTGCGGGGTCTTGCAGGCTGTTAGAGTGACACAGGGACTGTAGTGAGCTGACTAGAAGTTGAGGGACTCACTGAACACGGTGGAAGAAGGGATCAAGGGAAATGATATTTTTAAAGATAAATTCCAGGGAACTGCTGGCCAAGTGACCAAGGTTCCAACTGGAAACAGGAAAGTAGTTTGTCCTAAAGAAGTTAAATAAAAGTGCTTAACTATGGACTAAAGGGTTGGAATAGAGAGCACAAGCCAGAGAAGGAATGAATTTGACTATCAGGCCCATAAAGCAGGCTGTCCCCTGGAAAGAGATTAAAGGCTACCATCAGATTTATGAATCGGATCAATGACGATTTAATGTGATGGTTAAACACAAGGATTCTACACTCTGTGTGGGTCTGAATCCTGACCTTACCACCAGTTGTCTGATGTTAGGTAAATCACACAATAGTTCTGTGTCCCAGGAAAATGGGGATAATGGCATCTAACTTGGAGGGCTGTTGTCAGGATTCAGTTAATATGTGTGGAGAACTTACAACAGTGCCTAGCAGGGAGTAAATTTCAATTCATCAAAGAAGTGTTATAATAATAACAATAATATATAAGGTTTATATATACACATACCAGTCACATTATTACTACTCCTTTGGATTTTCCCATGCAGAAGATTTCACATAATGACACTGACCACATGGTATGCTCTGCAAGTCAGTTTCTAACTCCTGAGCCTTTTCTTCAAACATTAGATAATGAGAACATGTAAAGGCCCAATGCTCTGGTTGAATTGATGAAGCCTGGAGCACTCCTTGCTGCCCCTCCCCTGACTCCTATGGAACACATTTTGAAAACTACTACTAATGCAGAGGAAAGGATCCAAGGCTTGAAATCAAAACCTGGAGTCAGCTTCTATCTGCCATCAACAGTTTGTGTGACACTGAGCAGGCCCTCACTATGCCTCAGTTTCCTGATTCATATGCTGTGTAAGAGTTATACTAGTTCAGTGGTTCTCAAACTCTGCCTCTTTAAAACCCTAAGAGTCCCAGAGAAGTGCACCAGGAAGTTGGGGGAATGGGTGATGGGAAGCATGCTGGATGAGGAAAGGGAACCTAACAACTTCAAAAGCTAGGACTTCTCTGTATCATATATTGGAATTCCATAATATTTTGTTTGAAGGATGAGAACCACTGCTGAAGAAATTTTCACTAGGTAATAAAAGTTTCTTTGGTTTCAATTATTCTCTAGTTTCTCAGAAATTTATTCATTGAACCAAAGTAGCATAAGAACATGAATGAAAGCAACAAATCCTAAATATGAGAAACCTGAGTAATAGGGAGAGCAAGAAAGTGGACTATTCATAAGGTGCCGTGCAGTGACTGAGATATTTGAATATCTCCGATACCCAGGGAAAAGGCAAAACCTCTGAATTTTATCTAGATATTCTTGCCTCATTGTGTTCATGGAGAGCATAGACTGGAATAATGACAAGGAGAAATCCTATCTAATAAAAGAGAAACATGGTAATTGGCGTACGACCGCTACCCTTCCCATTGGCTAATCAGAGAGATATGCAAATTAACTGTCAGCCAAGATGGCGGCCAGCAGCCAGGCAGCTTGAAACTAACATGAGGCTTGCTTGCTTCAGTGACAGAGGACTCCCCGCATGCCACTGCAGGCCTCTAAGCCAGGAGTTTAAGAAACATAGTAACAAATAGAAGCTAAACAAAATCCCAGAAACCAGCTTTAGTCCCGGGCTTCAGCCAGCAGAATTGCAACATTGTAAACAAAGGCCAGAACCTTACTTTCAGCAGCGGAAGCCTAAGAGCTGGAGCCAAGCCTCAAAGCTAAAGCTGGCCCAGAATAAAAAAAAAAAAAAGAAAAAAAGGAGCGGTTGGGAGCTTCAGTCCCCTGCCAGCCTGAAAACAGCCCGCACCCAGGCTGGCCAGGCACCCCAGGGGGGACCCCCACCCTGAAGGGGGTGTGACAGATGCAAACAGCCATCATCCCCTCCCCCAGGCTGGCCAGGCCCCCCAGTGGGGACCCCCTCCCTGATCCAGGACACCCTTCAGGGCAAACCAGTCAGCCCCAACCCATGCACCAGGCCTCTATCCTGTATAGTAAAAGGGTAATATCCCTCCCAGCACCGGGATCAGCGTGACAAGGGGCAGCGCCGAAACCCCCTGATCACCCTGCGGCTCTGTGTGTGACAGGGGGCAGTGCCCCAACTCCCCTATCGGCCCTACTCTCTGAGTGACAGGGGGGAGCTCCTCAACCCCCTGATGGGCCCTGCTCTGTGCGTGACGGGGTGGCACTGCAAACTCCCCATCGACTCTGCCTTGAGTGCGACAGAGGGTCGTGACCCAACCCCCCAATCGGCCCTACCCTGAGCGTGACTGAGGGTGGCATTGCAACCTCCCAATCCGCCCTGCTCTGTGCATGACAGGGGACAGCACCCCAACTCCCCAATCGACCCTGCTTTGAGCCTGACCAGGGGCTGCACCTAGGGATTAGGCCTGCCCTCTGCCACCCGGGAGCAGGCCTAAGCCAGCAGGTCATTATCTCCCGAGGGGTCCCAGATTGCGAGAGGGCACAGGCTGTGCTGAGGGACCCCCCTCCTCCCCGAGTACACAAATTTTTGTGCACCGGGCCTCTAGTCTATATATATAAAAGACTAAGTGATCAAACGACTGGTTGCTATGGTGTGCACTGACCACCAGGGAGCAGACGCTCAATGCAGGAGCTGCCCCCTGGTGGTCAGTGTGCTCACAGTGGGAGCGCCACTCAGCTGACCGACTGGTGCCAGAGGCAGGGCTCAAGGCTGGCCAGCACAGCTCGGAACTGATTGGGTGCAAGCCCACGGCGGGTGCAGCAGGGCCGGGATGAGCAGGAGCAGCAGGCAATGTTGGATTGCAGGCCACACCAGGGACCCCACCGGTGCACGAATCCATGCACCTGGCCTCTAATATTACAATAAGAATACTATACAGATTCAATCAGAAGACAATTAAAAGGGACAATTATTAAACTCTATACACTAGAGGACTTTTCCTGGTGGTTAGTAGTTTCAGAAAATATGTCCCTTTCAAAGATAATGTCAAATTAAAATTCTACATTTCTGATTGCTATGCTGTTAGAAGTGTATGTGAGCTCAGATGCTCCTGACTTGATTGCCATTTTAACAATGAAATGTTTTGAGGTAAATTGAGTTCACATGTTCCCTGTGGATGTAAAACCTATGATTGATGAGTCTGTAGGCCATCCTTATAGCTTGGATTGGCCTTATATTTAATCTTCCTCAGCTTCAGCTTGCTAAGAGCAAAGCAAAACCTGTAAACATATGTGCATATAGACAGGGAGGAGTAGCATCTGTTTATCAGCAATTTTGGTAATGATTAACATTTAACAACAAGGGCTGATTACCCTTATCTCCTTTACATATGGTGTGAGTTGAAGGCTGGCCACTGATTTTTCTCTCCAATTATAACTCCCTTCCACCATTCAGACTCGCCATTGTGTGTGTGTGTGTGTGTACATGTGCACTAAAGTATGATATTTTAAGTTTCATTGCTGAAATATGTTAGCTTGGAGCAACTTCACCCATTAACACTTCAACATGTATTAGTTTATCAGATTACTTTCTGAGAGCTGGGTCCTAGGAGACTTGATACTGGTGACAGTAGTAATTCAGTGGGGGATAGAGATCAGAAAAGCCTGCAGCATGGAGGAGGAAGGTATATCCACATGGAGACCATGAGCTCCCATTGGGCCCCACAAAGGACAAGATGTGGACTGAGGGGTGCACATGTGGAGGGGAAATGCAGAGGCCAAGCTTTGCCTTCTTGTGACCAAGCACAGTGCCTTGCACATAACCCATCCTCAGTAAGTGATGGTTGAATCAAATTACTTTTGCCCTTGGGTAGTTTTGTCTAGAATAAAGTTGAGATTCAATGTTAATATATTTTAGTTATTGAAAAGATCAGGTTTCTTAAATTAAAGCAACATGATTTTCTGTTTTGAATTTGTTTCAATAATACATTTTGTGCCAGAAAAATCATTTTTAAGGAAAAACACTTTGAATATAAGGCATAAATAATTCTTCCTTTGTTAAGACAGCTCCTATTCTAGCCATTGAATAACACATCTGCTACAAGGATATTATTATTATTTTTTTTACCAGTCTCTGTGCACAGCTCTGATTAGAGGAAGTAAAAGATACATATCTCCTTCAAATGGTGAATTAGACTCAGTAAAGGTATATTTTATTATCACAGATTTTGTAATTATGAAAACTTCGAATAGCCCTCTTTTAAAAAATACTTTAAAATATAATTCTCCTCTCACCTCTCTATATGTTATGGTGACTGTTGATTTCAGGACAAAAAGTGCATTAAGAGCATCTTTTTCCAGTGCTAATATCATTATTGCTGCACAAAACATTTTATATCAAGGCCTGCTGAAGAAGAAATTTTAACAAGCACTTTTTCCATGCTTTTTCTTCTATCCAGGATTTGCTCACATCTATGGTTTTCAAAGTAAGCCCACAAATGCTAGAATAGCTTTACAAAGTATAACCAGAAGATAATTCATAACCCAGGTGCCTTAGTTTAAGCCTTCACTCTATTGTTAATTTTTTTTATTGTTCGGATGTACTGTTTTGAAAAATCATGTCCACAGAATAATGAAGGTTTTAAAAGTTAAAAAAAAAACATAAGTTATCACCAAACTTACTATAAGATTTGGATTAACCTTTTCCTTTTCATTTGCTACAATAGCTTTACAAAGTATAACCAGAAGATAATTCATAACCCAGGTGCCTTAGTTTAAGCCTTCACTCTATTGTTAATTTTTTTCATTGTTCAGATGTAATAATGTTTTAAAAAATCATGTCCACAGAATAATGGTTTTAAAAGTTAAAAAATACATAAGTTATCACCAAAATTATTATAAGATTTGGATTAACCTTTTCCTTTTCATTTCCAGGGCTACAGCAACACACAGGGGCCAGATTATCTTCAAAGATGCTTTAGCCCAGCAGTTGTGTGAACAAGGAGGTAAGAATCTTTTACTTCTCCGTGTTGGTTGTATCAAAATTATTTATGGTAGGTCCTACGTACTATGTGCTAAGTAAGTATTTCATTAATATTGCATGATCATGATGCTTTGGAATTACTGACCCCTTCAGACCATAATTAGTAATTATTGATAAAGATCTGTAGACTTAAAAATATTAAGTGTGAACAAAAAAAACAAGAAATTATCTTTTCATAATTGTTTTCTAATGAATTACAGTTAGTAATTCTGCTTTATGATTGCCTCATACACATTACAGCTCTCACCCACACCAAACTCTGACAGATGCACATGCATATGTGTGTACACACACATGCACACACATGCACACTGAAGGGTGAAAGCCAGGACCCATGCCTTCACACAAAGTTGATCCCTCTACCTCTTGCGCTGCCACCTGACTTTGTGTCTTCATGTAGCATTTCCCACTTCACATGGATTTTCTTCTGAAAAGTGATGGATGCCACCTTTGAGAGACCAAGCTCCTCAAGTACAGGAACCAAGCCTCTGTGCTCTTTGGTTCCCCAGGACCTGGCATTGTACCTGGCATGTGACAGCCACTCAGAAAATGTTGATAGAATAAATACAAGTGTTTCTGAGGCACACTTTTCTTTCTCTGTTTAAGCATCTTGACAGTGGATATGTCTGAGCCAGTTTTTGTAAGTGTGATGCCCTCTTCACCATCAGCATAGGTATATCACCATTTTTTTGCTTACAGATTTATATTTTGGGGAAATTTATTAATTTAGGAATTACATTATTGAGTTTAAAGGAAATTTCTACTATCTGCTAAAGAAAATCTAATGGACTTAGAGGAAAATTTATATTGTTTTTTGAAAAGCATAAGAAGATACCATTTATTACTTATAGTAATATATACATCATCAGTATGGCTTTATCTAAGCAATGTGATACTTGATGGTTATTACTGGCAAACTGCTGCTAGTTTACATGCATGGCTCTTGAATGAGAAAGCCCTATTCTAATTATAGTTTCAAAAACATCATCAGTGTTCTTGGGTTTAACAGATTTTATTCTGTAACTTTTGAGAATGAAAAATGTGATTGCCTTCATAGTAGGCTTGAGAAATCTATCACAATGTAAATATGTTTCAGACTATGAAAATGTTCACATTATTGAAAATATAGAACACCATATAGCAGTGAACATAATACCCTAAAGACTGCACAGTACCAGGAAATCATGTCTGATTTTAACACTTATCTTTACCTAAAAGCTATTTTTTTTTTAAATCCTGGGATTTTAAAAATATTTTATAATATAAATGAATAGTTGGGAATGGGATACACAGGGTGGGTGAAAGTAGATTTACAGTTATATGTATTGAATATAATACAGTAATCTATACTAATAATAGAGGAATATGTAAATTGGCCAGGACGCCATCACATAATGACCAATCAGAATGGGGGCAGGGCCATGGCAGAGAGCTCTCAGCATGCCTTTAACAGGGGTCAAAGGGCGCAGAGAGGAAGAGAGAGCAAATAGGCAGTTAGGGGGATCAGGCCAGGAGAGCAGATAGGCAGTTAGGGGGATCAGGCCAGGAAGGGAGCACAGATAGGCAGTTAGGGCGATCAGGCCGGCAGGGGAGGGCAGATAGGCAGTTAGGGTGATCAGGCCAAGAGGGGAGAGCAATTAGGGTGATCAGGCTGGCAGGGGAGAGCAGTTAGGCAGGTAGGGGATCAGGCCAGGAGGGAAGAGCAGTTAGGGGGATCAGGCCAGCAGAGGAGTAGTTAGGAGCATCAGGCAGGCAGGCAGGTGAGTGGTTAGGAGCCAGTGGTTCCGGATTGTGAAAGGGATCCCAGATTGGAGAGGGTGCAGGCCAGGCTGAGGGGACCACCTCTGCCCCCTCCCCCATGCATGAATTTCATGCACCGGGCCTCTAGTTAATAAATAATAAAAGAAGAATAAACTTTGTTTCATGTACTCACAACTGTAAACCTACTTGTGTCCCACCCTGTAAAGACTGAGGATGAGGAATAATATTTGAATTTATGCTCTGGTCTTAGAACCATGGAGTCCTTATCTGAAAATTAGTGATGAGGCCAATAAAGTTAACTTGACAAGATACACACTACTCCCAAGTGGCCAGAGTAGAATCCAAAAGTCTGGACTCACAGCCCAATGTTGGTTTCATTATGCCAAGTGGATTCTTAAATTTAAAAAAAAAAATTAAACTCTCAGAAACCACAACCTCAATAAACAAGATCACCATTACTGCCTTCATCCTGGAACACCTAGGAGAGAATACATACTTTTTGGAGCCCTGGTAAAACAAAAGTCGCAAGTGCAGGGCTGATGTGAGTGTATCAGCATGGCCACTGCTGGTTCAACAGTGCACACACATCATGGTGGAGGTGGGGCAGAGAGAATAATGGCGTGCATGTATATTTGCTGGCCTGGGAGCTTCTTGGCATTCCCTCTTCAAACGCATACATCGATTATTTAGCAAGGCCAGATGGCAGGCTTAAACAGCTGACAACAGTCATGCCCTATAGTGCCCCCAAAGAGTGCATGCCATTTATAAGCCATGCTGGAATTCTCTGTTGTTGGGATGATGGAAGTGGATATAACCAAAAGCAAATGTTTTATGTCAGGAGGAAAGGGGTCAGGCGTACAGCTGGAGCAGAAAACCTTGGCTGCCTTCTGCCAGCTCAGCAGTGTTTCTGCTGTTCATCACCCTGAGTGGTAGAAAGTGAGTGGTAGAAAGTGTGGCTGTGTTCTCTACGGGCCTTCGGGTCACAGTGGTGGGCAGTGTATCTCTGCCATTCAGACTCCAAAGTCTTTGGAATTTTTCAATCCTTTTGTGCTAAGAGTTGGTGACATTTTATTTAAACTCTGAGATGGAGGGAGATCAAAAGTTCTGTAAGCACGTCCACAGAGTGAATGAGGTGTTAAACCTACCTCAATTTTTTTCAGCATTTCAAGAATACCTATTAATGTGAGCTGATTGATATGTTAACTAGCTTGGTTTTTGGCGATTATTTCACAGTGTCATCTACCTTAAATATATGCAATTTTTATTTGTTAATTATACCTCAATGAAGCTGGGTGGAAAATAGCTTTTCTACTCAACTATTGTATGAACTGTAGATCAGATCTACCCAAATCTTCCCTTGGCTATCCTTGGTTATTCAGTAGCTTATCTGACTAAATAATCTTTTCACTACCCTGAAATGCATTTTTAAAAAATTTATTCAGCCTAAACATTGTCAGAATTGACTAATAGTCAGAATTGGATTTTACCGTATCTACTTTAATGGTTGAAGTGAAAAAATAATGAGTAATATGCTTGACTTGAATTTGTCCAATGTTAAAACGTTTGCTAGTCAAAGTCATCTGTTTTCCCCATGGCTGTTTTGTAGCTTACAATCCAGTTTAGCAGTTATCTTGCTTTGCTGGCATCCCTGCACATTGTAATGTACAGACAAAGGGAGCTGAGTTAGCAGGCTCAGACAAAACCGTCCAGGAACCTTGCTTCAAGTTCTCACAAACTGCCCAACAGGGGAAAGAACTGGGGCCCTCCTAGGGCAGTGGCTGGCAAAATGTCCCCAAGTGATCCTTACAACAGACAAGATTAAGGGGAATGACAAAGAGGCTACTCCCCAGGGCCACACTAAAATGTCTTGCTACTGGCTGTAGGTGGGTCTGACTACTTTTTTTAATTTTCTAAAGAACAGTGTTTTGGACTGGTGCTGTTTTCCCCAAGATGACTGAACATATATTTAAACAGCTTGCTTTTCAATCTTCGGAGCTATATACATTTCCACCTGACAGCTTTATCTAGTCCAAAGTCAAAACATCAAGATTTATGCCTGAGAAGAATTTGACATTGAGTGGTTTTGGATGCTCATAGAAGTATGTTTTCTACTCAAGCTGCTATGTAATCTCCTGAATTCCCCCATATTTTGAAGGACAAAGTCTAAGTTTGGAAGGGCGGCGAAGCTGTGGTTAAACACTTTTCATTACGATTCTATTTTGGCTTGTGAAATATTACTTCATGAAACCTATTAATATGACCTTGTTTTTATACTTGAAGATTCAGTTGTTCAATGTAATACAGATTTCCACATTGGTTTTTTTTTTAAGAGTTAGAATTCATTAATATTAATTAATACTTATTGTGCTGTGTCCCCAGGGGGCATATGTGGAACTCTGTATGAGAGTTATGTGGCAATTTCACATACTTTTCTTAAATATCTTATAATATAGATATGTTTAGTCCAAACCCAGGAGAGAAACTCCAAAACACATTTATAGAAAAATATAAACTCAGTGGACTGGAAGTCATGCCATCTCCTCTGAGGACTTGGTCAACAGTTTGTCCTCTCTTTTCCAAATCATCAGCTTTTCCTTTTCACCATCCCTGCTCAGAGAGTCAGTAATGCAAGGTGGTTAACAGCATGGGGCTTGGCAGTATCTACATTGGGGTTCAAACTTCTGTTCTGGAACTTTCTGGCTATGAAATCTCAATTATTTTACTGCAAAATAGGCAAAATAACAGTACTTACTTTTTTAGTTATCTCATATAATTTTCAAGAACCCAGCACAATAGTCTGTGCCCAGAAGGAATGCAGTAAAGTTCTGAGGATTAAATGCAATAATGACATGCATAGGATGATAGCTAGCAAATGAATACCTTATAAATATTAGCTATCATTATTATTATTAGGCACTTACATTTGGATGTCACTTACATACCTTGAACTCAATATATTCGAAACTGAATTTGACTTTTCCCCAAATTTGGACCCTTTTATTACAGTTCTGGTTAGGGACTAAATGGAGACTTAGATAAACATTACTTTCCTTTCACCCATCTCTATACTCAGTGCGTCTAAGACTAATTTATCTCACCTTATCTTCTTAACACCTCTTAAGCCATCACTGCTCTTTCCACACCTACCGCATTTCTTTGTTTCAGGCCTGCCGCATATCTGTCAAAGTGTTCTTAAACACA